TCCTGCCTCAGCCTCCCAAGTAGCTGGGACCACAGGCGCCCAACACAACGCCTGGCCATTTTTTGGTTGCAGCCGTTATTGTTGTTTGGCGGGTCTGGGCTGGATTCGAACCTGCCACCTTAGGTGGCTGGCGCCTTAGCCACTTGACCACAGGCGCCGAGCCTTCACCAGAAATTTCAACTGCAACTCTTGTTTGATAATTTTATTATAGTTACACCTTTTAATTAGTCATTGTCTAGGAATTCAGTATTTCATATATATAAATTTTTCCAAGAATTAAGTTTTCCTTTCAAGCAGCAATACTTTATTTACTTCCAGCATTTGTTCATAGAACTTTCCAAAAATATTTCAAATTCCTTAAATTTTTCTGCAGAGGCACAAAGTGCAATCTGAGTCTGTTAATTCAATGTGATGTAGCCCAACAGATACGCGTGGTATTGCCCCGTGGTGCCCTGCGCAGCACAACTATCCTCTAACTCCTCCTTTGCCCCGATACGGCCATCTGTCACTTCTCCCTGACGTTAGTAATTTTGCTCCAAACTGGTCTTACTTTTAGCTGATGTTAATCTGATGTAAGGCTGGAAACCAACCAACCAAAAATTATTTGAAAACTGTGTTTTAGGAAATAATCAGCAGGGCACACGTAAGGCCCTCTGCGACAGAAGAAGGCCATGCCCAGGAATGTTGGGACAGTTACTTGACTTGCTCCCATACTTTTTCTCCACATTTCTGATTTGGAAATTCGACTCTTGGGGCAAGGATGCTTCAAGTCTAGAAACAATCAAAATGCCTGATAATGGTAAATTATTATATGCTGAAATAAAAACCATGTAATAAAATGGGAAAATGTTTACTAAGAGATGTTATGTTAAACCCACCAACAAAAAAAAAAAAGAAGAAATTGTACTCTGTCATTACAACTGTCCAAAAATTCAGAATTATGGATAAAAACTGGAAGAGAACCTGGGAAAATTAAAATACCTATAATGTGGAAAGATTATAGATGTACTTAAAATTATCAGGTAATGCTCTGTAGAGCTGTGATTATAATGGGAAGTTACAGTGAGTTTTTGTTATAATTAATAAGATATTTTGCCAGTCTTGAAACCAGTAGGAATGGAAAATGACTTTTAATTGTGGTTTCTCAGGAAGATCAAAATAGGGGAAGATTATCCAAAGAAGAAAAATAATAACATTTAATACTAGCAAACCAAAGGTATTTTGAGGTTGTGATGACACAGTAAAATAATCCTTCTTATACGCATGCTGGGCACCTCCATCTCCTTAGTGCATGTGGAAGGCTAATTTACTAGAATTTAGACGGCTCCAAATAGGATTCCCTACTCCACCCAAGGCAAAAGGGCTGCATTTCCTATATCGCCTTAGTGTAATCCAGACTATTCAAGTATGAATCTGTCAAAATCCCTAGCAGAAATACTCACTCCGGCTTTCATTTCTTGGCAATTTACTGGGATAACTTTTGGCTGTTGGCACATATGGCTCTGGAGGTGGCAGATCAGAGATCGGATGGAAGTAGAATCTGCTTTCCCACTCATCTGGGGAGAAGAAACAGACAGTATCTTCCATAATAGACAATCTGCTGTGATGATGTTATGCAATGAAAGGCGCAGAGTTAAATACCAAAAGAAACTACGGAAATCAGTTTCAGTCGGATACCTAGAAGTCTGCAGAAAAGCTGGAAGAGCTACAAATGTCACTGACTCGCACGTCAACAAAACAAACTGGCCTGGAAGTCAAAGCAAAGTGACTTTCACTAGCGTGATGAGGACCCAGCCGTCCCTCTCAGGAGCTGAGGTCTAAGGTATGGAACACCCTTGCTCCCACCAGTGGGCCAGAAGTACCTAGGACCATTCTGATAACAGTGGGAGAGATAAGAGCTTAGTATCTGCAGGCCATTGGGCCCCTTACCTACAAACAACTATTTAGAAATGTAGATAATAGGAAAGCAAACTACATAAATGTTTCTTTTCAGATTCTAGAATCTCTGGAAAGTTAACCAAAATGAGAATTCAAGCAAAGAACAGGTCAGGAAGAAAATGATCTGCCTTTTTGGGAAGTAGGGGAGAAGGATTATAATTTTGATTTTGAAATCATGGTGGGCTCTCAAATGGTTAGACAGATCAGCACGGTATACAGTGTGTGTAGGGTGATAACAACAATGGAATAAAAAACTTAACTTAAACAAGCAAACAACACACACGCAAACTGACCATTCAATTGCAGCCCTACCCAGCCCAGTGAGCTGGGACCACAGCTCACCTTCACATGGAGCATCTTGGAAGCCATTTCTAATTGATGCTGACGGTGGAGGTGGGGGAGGTGCCCCTGCACCAGGCCTGTCGGGAGGAAGGGGGGGCCTGGGCCCACTCCTGGGACTATCTACTCCACTCCTGGACGGCAACTGTGGGGTGGCAGGCAAGGCCCGAGATGTGCTGCCATTTCTGCTTATGGGAGGAGGCGGTGGGAGGGGACCTGGGGCAAAAGAAAAGAAAACACTTAGCAGAATACTTTATATCCCACATTGCTATGGTTATTCTCAACATACAATGGGCAGGCGCCTGCTAGACACATGCCCTTTCATTTGCGAATATGGAGAAATGGAGACTTTGATCTAACTGAGAAATGAGTAAGCATATATGGACACGAAATGCACATATGCACGCACGTGTATGCAAAACAAGTGCATACTAATAGCTTAATTGCTGTTTTGGCTTTGAGTTAGTAATGAGATTGGAGATGATACAGTAAAATGAAAACAGGTTTATACTCACAACCATATAATTTAAAAAATCTTATAATCCTTTTAAAGAGCTATTGAACTAATTACTATGACATGATGAAGGAATTAAAAAATAAGATGGTTATGAAGTTATTTTAGGTCTCCAGAAGAACTAAGTTCTTGAAAGGCACAGTATTATCGCTAATTATACAAGCGTTGTTTCTGTGACGCACACGATCCGTTTGCAGGCAGAAGTGGCATCAGGAAACCAAACACCAGTCATACTGAGGGCAGTAGGAGTCCTCCTTGGTTCCTCCTCTTTGGGGAGGCAGAGGAACATAGGGAGTGGCAAACAGCTAATCAACAGCCATCCATGGCTACAAATGTGAGTGTGGGTCCTAACCCTGAACAGGCCAAAACGCCATGGAACTAGATTTCCTGTCTATAAGAGGGACTGATAGTCACCTTTCTCATAGCACTGATGCCAGGAGTAATAAGTAAAAAAGCCAACAGAGAGGCTCAGCGCCTGTGGCTCAAGTGGCTAAGGCGCCAGCCACATACACCTAAGGTGGCGAGTTTGAATCCAGCCTGGGCTTGCCAAAACAACAAAGATGGCTGCAACCAAAAAATAGCTGGGCATTGTGGCGGGCGCCTGTGGTCCCAGCTACTTGGTAGGTGGAGGCAGGAGACTGGCTTGAGCCCAGGAGTTGGAGGTTGCTGTGAGCTGTGAGGCCATGGGCACTCTACCTAGGGGGACAGCTTGAGGCTCTGTTTCAAAAAAAAAAAAAAAAAAAAAAAGCCAACAGAGAATACTATGTAAGCATTTGAAATCATTTTGTAAAATGCAGAGGCTGTGCGTGGTGGCTGACAACTATAATCCTAGCACTCTGGGAGGCCAAGGCAGGTAGATTGCTTGAGTGCAGGAAATGGAGACCAGCCTGAGCAAGAGTGAGACCCCATCTCTACTAAAAATAGAAAAGCTAGTCAGGCATTGTGGAGTTTGAGGTTGCTGTGAGTTATGACGATGCCATGGTGCTCTAACCCTGATGACAGAGTGAGACTCTATCTCAAAAAATAAAAAATAAAAAGTGACTAAATTAAAACAACAACAACAACAACAACAAACTGAACAGGAATATCTTCCCATATAAATCAAAATGCCTTAGTAAGTGTTCTTGATCTCCGGCAGTGTGAGCCATTTGTAAGATGCTGACATTTTATGTACATTCGATGTCTTATGGCACTGTGTGTGTATGTGTGTGTATATAATATATATATATATTTTTTTTTTTTTTTTTAGACAAAGAGTCTCACTATGTCCCCCTGGTAGAGTACCCTGACATCATAGCTCACAGTGACCTCAAAGTCCTGGGCTTAAGTGATTCTCTTGCCTCAGCCTCCCAAGTAGCTGGGACTACAGGCACCTGCCACAATGCCTGGCTATTTTTTTGCTGCAGTTGTCCCTGGCCAGGTTCGAACCTGCCAGCTTCTGTGTATGTGGCTGGTGCCATAACCCCTGTGCTACCGGCACCAAGCCGTTATGGCAGTATAAATATAAATATCTCATTAGCTGTAGATTCAGAATCCAACCAGGAACCTTACACTGAACAACTCTGGCAGGAACTCTTGCTTCAAACATTTGATGGAGGCACTGCTCAGCCCTGTCTCAGCCCAGTCTCTACAGGAGTCTTCAGTGCCTTACACTGGAGTATTACTTATTGCCCTCTCTGCTTGTCACTGCTGGAGTTTCAGGCAACAAGAATGGGAGGAAGTGTCCCATATGCTGTCGGTTCAACTTTACTGGCAACACCACCACATAACTGTCATTAAACACAAACTAGACTTCCAATATTATGGTGCCCAGTACTATGTAACAGGATGGACTTCTTATCTCATGTTCCGAACTCTCCATCCTTGGGGTTCCCTGCCCCAAGAGCCTGGCAGGGACAGTAGCAGATTTCTATTTCCCACTGGCAGAATAACAATAAAAGTAATCATTTATTGAACATAACTACACGTCAAGAAATAAGATAACCACTACATACACATGTCATACTTAATTCTTTTAACAACCCTGAGAGGAATAGGGACAGCACATAAAGCCTCAGAGATTTGGGAAGCTTAACAAGCCCAATTCAGGAGGGTAATGGGAGGAAGAGCCAGGATCTGACTCCAAATCTATCAAATTCTTTTTTTTTTCTTTGAGACAGAGCCTCAAACTGTCGCCCTGGGTAGAGCGCTATGGCATCATAGCTCACAGCAACCTCCAACTCTTGGGCTCAAGCGAGTCTTCTGCCTCCGCCTCCCAAGTAGCTGGGACTACAGACCCCTGCCACAACGCCCGGTTATTTTTTGGTTGCAGCGGTCATTGTTTGGTGGGCCCAGGCTGGATTCAAACCCGCCAGCTCAGGTGTATGTGGCTGGCGCCTTAGCTGCTTAAGCCACAGGCGCAGAGCCATCTGTCAAATTCTAAAGCCTACTCTACTAACAATGATGCCAAACTACTTCCCAAAATACAGATGGCTCTTAATTAAGGTGACCAGATTTTAACATTGGTAAAGCGGGACACCATTGAAGGGGGGCGGGTGAGGGTGGGGCCTGACAATAATGCAAACTTTGATAAGCAGTTCTCAATAATCACTTCTCAACAATTATTTGTTGTTATTACAGTTTAACATTATAAAATTAACAAAAATAATATAAAACTCATATCCTGGTGAAATAGCCACATGGCAGCCGAAAACCGTATATTCCCTTACTGTTCTCCCACCCATTTGTTCATTTTTTCCAAAAATCAGGACTTTTTAAAAACGCCAGGGGACCCAGGACAAATTGTTAAAAATCAGGACTGTCCCACCAAAAGCGGGACATCTGGTCACCCTACTCTATCCCCCTGGGTAGAGTGCCCTGGCAAGGTCACCCTACTCTTAATGTCTCTATGCTTCTCATGGGAATGTAAATTAGCAGGAATTTTCTGGAAGGCAATTTGGCAGTATCTGTGAAATCCACAGTGCACACCCATTGACCTGGAAATTCCTTTTCTCGGAAATTTATTCAAAGGAAATACACAGAGATGTGCACAAATACTCAGCTACAAGGATATATTGCTGAATTATCTGCAACGGAAAAATATTCAGAAATGGCCCATATGACCAAATGAGAGGACTGGCTAAATAAATCAAGGTACATTTGTAAGATCTAGTATTATGCAGCCATTAAAAGTCAGAAAGATAATTATATCATAAAATGTCAATAAGACATTGTTACATAAAAAGAAAGTTACCAAATAATACATGTAGGTTGCTATCAGTCTTATAACAATATATACACATGCATTTTTTAAAAAGGAAAGGATATATTAAAAGTGTTATCAGTGATTATTTCTAGATAGTGGAGATGGTAGGTTTATAGATGATTTTAATTTTCTTTATATTTTTTGGTATTCCAATACTAAACAGGTTTGACTTATGTAACCAAAAGAAACAATAAGTGTTCTTTGTTACTACCTATCATATTTTGAGGAAGATTTAATCTGTTGATTCATGTATTTGGTAGGGCAATGGCACAGCAGTTTAAGGAGTGGTTCTCAAACTCTGGAGCACATTATAATCACTGGGGAGATGTGCAGTCTGCACCCCAGACCAGAAATCCTCAGAAGCGACCCAGGCATCTGCAGTTTTTACAGTTCCCTGGGTGGTTCCAACATGTGATCAAGTTCAAAGAATAGTGTTTATTAGGTTTTTGAGGTGACAGGATCAAAGGTTAGTTAACTTCTCCTAAGGAAAAAAGTGCTCCATTTCCAGACATCATGAGGTTATGTATGATAAAAGTAAATTTAAAAAGATGGTTCTATGGAATCCATTGACTACTATAAAATGAGTGAAGTGAGTATTCCGTTAAAAATGCCTGCTCCAGTTCCTGGAGAGAGTGTAAACTCGTGGCAATCCATTCATCTCCTATTCTCAAAGTTCTCAGTTCAAGGTTTCCCAACCCTGGGTGGGGCACAGATGGGTGTCAGCAGATCCTTGTATCCATGAAATTGCATGCACATGTTGAGTTTATACCTCTGAGCATTTTTATAAACAGAGGATTTGTACTTTTATTTGATTCTCCAGGGGATTTATGTACCAGAGATGTTTTTTTTTTTTTTT